AAGTTTTATCAATTTCGATACGGAATAAATTGAAAAATAACGAACAATTATACTTGCGTTGAGCCATTCAAAGTAGACTAGTTACATCTAATAATTGTTGCTCGACCACATATGGTAAGTCACGATGGTCAGTCCTAAATTATAAAGCGTTAATAAAGCGTTAAATATATGTCATTAAAATAATCATAACATGCTAACTAAAAAAAAAAAAAAAACAGTTGATACAATAAAAATAAGTAAGAAAAAAGAAAGTCCCGCCCAAAAGTTTACTCTATATTATAGGATTGAAACTAATCATTGTTATATAATTTGCCTGGAATCTAATAATATCTGACTCAGAAGACCAACTGTCAGTTAAAAGATCAGAGGTAGTCATTTAGATATCTGTCGTAGTCTTGTAATCGTAGCCTCTTAATCCGTAGTCTCATAGTCCATTCTTTAGGTAAGACACGTTTTAATAAGCCCGGTGCCTTGTAGCCGCCGAAACAGAATTTATATAAAGTCAAAAGGAAAGCAGTTGAACCAAGTCCAGAAAGGAAGCCAACAACAGTGGTAGAGCTCACTTTGCTAAGTTTAGGTTAATATGGTTAATTTGCAAGATTTATATTAATATTTAATATATTGGAAAAATTTATTGCTTACTTTACTTGCGTATAAGTAGTCAAAATTGTCGACATATTAGAAATTTGTAAATAAGTATATGGTGTAGGTCCATTCAGAAAATCAGCATTGCTATATTGTCCAAGCGATACTATTGGTAAATCGTGGTAATAAGATAATAAACATCTGTGTATGCAAGTGACTATTACAAACAATAAATTTAAGATTCCTGCTTACATATCTTAGTTGACAATCCAAAATATTTAACTCTATGTTGGGAAGATTTACTGGCAACTTTAGTAAACATATCTTTTTCTAAAGAAGTGTCAAGATCTTGATATTGAATGCGCTCTAACAATATATAATTCACCTGCATAAAATAGTATTAAATTATAAATTAATAAAATAAATTATAAACAATAATAAATAACAAAAATCAACATTATGAATATTAAATTTTGTTACTTGGAATGGTGAAAGTGTGTAAAGATTTTCACATAATAATGAAGAAAGTTTGTTTTGAATATTACTTGTGGTCTTTGAGCTTGCTAAACTTATGCTACCACCAGATAGGAAATCACTAAAATTTATTTGGTTGTATGTCTCTGGATAAAGTAGAATTACAATTGGATAGGAAGAGTTACTTGAATCAACAGTGTAAATTTGAAACCCAACAGTCAATTAACTCGAAAATGAAAAATTGCTAAGATAAACGAAGTAATCAGTGTAATTTTGGATATTATTACTACAATCATATGTAACAGTTGTATCAACTAAATTTAGATGAAATTTTAATATAATAATTATGTCGATAGAAAAGAATTAAAAAAATCATTTAACAACATAATAACATACCACATGAAATGTTATTGATAGGACTGGATCCGGGGACAAAAATGACAGCTAAGTAATAAAGAGCATAATAAATTATGTTAGTGATAAATTACCATAATTATTTCCTTAAAAAACTTACCAGGAACAGGTACATCACCAACTGATCTTGACATTTGTAGTAATGAAGGACCAGAAAAACTAAGTAGGTAGTAAACTATGTAGGCTATAATTAAGCCATAAACAATGAAGAGACAACTCATTCTAAATATTCTGAAACATTGAGATTCTTTTTCTTTTGGACTGTCTCTGTCAGTTTCACCCATTTTTTTTAATAAAAATTTTAATAAGTATATGAACGTGGAATGTCTGAAACGATACCCTAATAGTGAGAGACATTTATAAAATTATGTAAATCATTGCATAAGATATAATCAAAATCAATGAAATAAATTGTAACAAATATTGATCCATATATGTTATGAAATTTGAAATAATGAGCTAAAGTAGCGAAATAAGATTTATCTTGAAATTTTTCGTTTTCCTGGGTAACAAGTAAATTAAGTTTAAATCCATAATCATTGATGAGTGTTAAAATTTACATGCGAAACCACATACACCATCTCAACAATCACTACTGTCATACCGCATGTACGTACGTACGTGTGAACAAAACCATTGACAACTCATCACATAGAGTTTGGCGTATTTCCGAACTGTATTATGCTAACTTATCGCTCATAAGTAATTTAGAAAGGCATGTATGTATTAGGCAATAAAAATCCTTTTATGATGTCGATAAAAATATATGCTATTAGGCTGTGCGATGCAAAACTATGCATTCGAAGTCAAGTATCACAGAAATATCTAAATTGACATCTAATATCTTAATAAGGAAGTTCAATCATCAATGAACGTGTTGATTTTTGGTGCGCAAAATTTTCAATTATGGTATATTTGAGCTGTTTTCAGATTTCCATAATTGTTTGTCATACGGTGCAAGAAATCTAATAACCACAATTAGGGATGGGTTCGGTCAGCTAGGTCAGCTATCATCGACTAGTAGCCGGCTATAGCCGATAAATTACTTGATCAATTTCTTAATCAATTTTTCATTCAAACATATAAACAAGTGCCAAATAATTATATTTTTATATGTTATACAGTTATACATATTAGAGTACCCTAGTCATGGCGAAAAAAAAGTTCGGGTTACATCTGTAAACAGCCAATAAAAATAATCAAAATATTGCAGATCCGAACTACATTTTCAAACCAATCTAATTCTGATGAGTTTAAAACTCACCCACAATAAACCAAACGATCAGCAAACTTGACCAGAATTAGATTGTTTTGAAAATGTAAATCGGTCGAAATCAGCCCATAAAATTTTGAATATTTTCCCGTAACTACTTAATTAAACACAGTACATTTTTTATTTTAATTCTAAACTTTTATAGAATTAAAATAAAAAACTTTTATCGAAATTTGATAAATGGTTGTTGAGAAATATGAATTTTACAAAAAAATCGGTAAATTTTCTTTTTTTTTGACTTAAACTAAGATTTCTCAACAGCCATTGATTCAAAATTTTTTTTATTTAATTCTTAAGTTTATAGAAATAAAGTAAAATAAAAAATAATTGAAATTTGGTACATTTTGAAAAAAATTGCTCGATTGTTAGATAAAGCATGCCTGTCTTTCACTATCTTACAATAAAAATACCTTAGCTGTCGTACCAATTTTGCCATGGCAAATTCTCAATTTTAATTAGCTAACTGCAGTAGTCTACAAGATTTTTGGCTCGCATTATACAATTGTTACATAATTTTTGGCCGGAAATAGGTCTTAACGTTTTTATTACAAAAATAGAAATTTTTAGGGAAATAAGCCTATACTATGGTAAAATTAGACCAGGAACATTTTCACTTAATAGGCAGCTGTGATTTCATTAGTAAGATTTTGAGTAATTTCAACCTAGATTATTAATCGTCGCTCTTAGCCAATCAAAATCGAGAATCGGCTGTGACGTGACAGCTAGGGTATTTCTTGCAGTAATTCTAAATAATTTGTACACTTCATGCTGAATTGAGCAATAATTATGATTTATCAGCTAGGAAATAAAAAATTTGGGATCGGCTAGCCGGTCAGCTAAACCGCTATAGTAGACTACATCGACTACGGCTATAGCCGATCGGCTAGCCGACTACTAGCTGACCGAACCCATCCCTAACCACAATTATACCTTTTGGAAAGAATATAGACATTTAACCATTTATTAAAGAGACACAACTAAAAAGCTAACTTTTTAAAATAGATGACCTTGTAATATTCGTGTTAATGATAATGAGAAATTTCACGATTATATTTTTTATTTAGTAAAGACTGCTATGAACGAAGTTACAAAGCGGTAAAGTAATCAAATCTATGTGAACAAACTATAAAATTTGATGGATACGTGTTATTTCACCGACAATTAACTTACCGACAAGTTCATTTCACCGACAATTATTTCCATGACAGTTCATTTACTGATAGTTCATTTCACTGACAGGTATTTTTTATAGATTACACTAACCTTAACTCTGACACTAACAACAATGACCAGAATTACTTTGACGGTGAAATGAGCTGTCAGTGAAATAAGTGTCGGTAAAATGAACTTGTCATCGCCACCAAAATCAGTTACGTAATCGCTTTTTAAATTTCAATCTGCGCACAAGAATAATAGAATCACGAGGTCATACATTTATTCAACTTATATTAGGTCTAGAAATTAGTGAAATAAATAGCAAAATCGCCCAAGAAACTTTTTTGTTAGACCACATTTTTATCAAAATTATTGGACATGGACTGACTGGACATATGTCCAAGTATTATGTCTAATGCAGGGTTTAAAATTGGCTTGCACAAGATGCACATGTGCAAGTGTTTTTTTTTGAGATTTTTTTTTGGATTTTTAAAAAATCTTTTAAGTGTGCAAGTAAAGCTTTTTAAAAAAGCTGCACAAAATACATTTGTGAAAGCGATTTTTTTTTGAATTTTAAACCCTGGTCTAATGTCCAGTCCAGTCCAATAGCATAAAAAATAGTTGGACATATGTCCAGTGCCAACACTGCCTATAGCTACGTCAATTGTGCTTGTGGGCTTCTCACATACGTATAGAGATATTATCCAATTCATGAAATCGTTCGGGCCCTAAGCATTAATGTAATTTTCAGAACACCCGACTTACTTCCAATTCAATAATGAGACTCGTCAACATTCCAGGATTTCGTAAACTAAGTGCTTTCTGATCCAATAACATTCTAATGGTTGTATAAACCATAATGTAATAAAAGTTATAACTATCGTGAATTTTGTATCTAAACTTTGTTTTAGATGATATTTATATTTGGCAACAAATGTTAAAAATGAAATGCAATGTTCTATTATTTATTTATTTGTTTTTTATTTTTTTTAAAAAAACTTATTTTATGAAATGAAAAAATTAAGGTCACAGAAAGTTGTTTTATCGTTTTGCATTACATGATTTTCAAATTTACATTTTTGGCGAAATTATAATTCATGATTTTAATCAACATGTAACTCCTTACTGAGCATTAAATGTCCTCTACTACGCTCACAGACAAAAATAAAGTTTTTTAAAACACTCAAAATTTCGGATAATTCTTTAATGACGATTGCTATTTGTACACCATGTGTATGTACACACATATATTGATATCTCAAAATCCTAATTATATAATAGC